GATCTGCAATATCGTTCGTATCACTTACCAGTTTTTACTTTGCTAGCTTTACTACCCACTGCTGTAAGGAATTAGCGAATCAAAACATCGTACGTTAAACAACAACACTTTCTTTTAAACTAACTAGAAAAGCACTCCGAGAGCGCAGACCTCCGTCAAGGCAGCAATTTTTTATTATTATTGATTATTGATTATTGATTGATTATTGATACAGATCACCACCAAATCATCATCTGTTCCTTGGCCCACTTTTGACAGTTCCTGAAAATTTCATCAATATCGGTCCATAACTTTTTGAGTTATGTTGATGACAGACAGACAAACAAACAAACAAACAAACAGGGGTGAAAAAATAACCTCCTTGGCGGAGGTAAATATACATTTTAATAATTTGGCGACTCCTAGCGGTGATGCCAACAAGTCAATTTGATTGCCTTTCACGAAAACTTTTCCAGCAGACTTTTACTCTATGCAAATGTACTTTTATAATTTCATACCGAGTCATCCCTCTTCTTGTGTTTTGACAAACTATTCTTAGACTCACCTGACAACACAATTGCAGTTATTCCGGCAATAATTAAAAGAAGTGCCATTATTTTCAGTTTTGTAGTGGGTAAACTAATCTCACTATCTTGTGCGCTAGGGTGGGTAAATTGTCCGACTAGAGATATAAGCACTAAACTAAGGCATTACATGTATATGGTGTTTTCCATTACGGTGATATGATTTTTCCTTTATTATCCCTGTCAAGAGAAAGTTGGCTTAGTAATGTTAAAGTCAGCAAAAAGAATATGACATTCGTATGAACAGTATGCATTCTTTATGCATTAATGTGTTTGCGTGCGTATGTTTGTATGCTTAACTTACCGTTTTCCTTGACATCCTCAGAAATACTGTCATATATATCGTCCCAACGTTGATTATAAACATTTTCTACGACATAAACACTTGCAAGTGCACTCATATTTTGACATGTAGAGATAAGATCCAAAATGTTCCTACAAATTAAAACCCAGCTGGAATGGCGGGCCAGCTCAAAGTAATGAAACGACTAATGCATGAAGGCTACAATGGACTGTGAAACATGAAGCTGAACAGATCAATGCACCACTTGCCCTCCATTTTAACCATATATGGTATTTGTTTCTTTTAAATGCGATTTACGCATCATTCATACATTTGCCGCTCCAAATGACTGTCTGTTGTGATAGCCGTGATTGGTGATATCAACGTCATGTTTCAGATCACACTGTATAAAAGTACTGGCATTTGAAACGTTTAAATCCCGGCATCAAATTACATTGCCTCCTGTTATTTTTTACGGCGACACTGGTTTATCCAGAATCATGCTTGCATTATTCTATTTGACTCACCTCATTCTATTTGACATTGTTTTCGAACTCACTTGGTTTTTAAGGGGAACTATAATAATGAAAACACGCCAATAACATGACTTCTTATCAATGTTCATTCTAGAGCGACTACCAGATGTTTCATAGAATGAATTTGACATAGATTTTAATGAAAAAATTCTGATCGATCTGTGGAAATGAACTGGTCAACCCTGTATGCATATTTTGGATGGATGTATAGAATGCAGAAAAAAACAGTGGTAGAATGTTTTCTCAAAATATTTTTAATCACACAGATCTACATATTCAACAGTGTCTGTGTAATTTTTAAGAAGTCTATTGCAATATGCACGTTCCGAAAAATGAGTCTATGGAATCAAGCCTGATGCAAGCGGAAATGCTAATGTTGGACATGCTAATGTTAAGACAAAAGTTGCATCCAGCAGAAACAATGTTCGAAATTTGGCCTAGGACTGCATTTATTAGAACGCCCCACTCATGAAATTGGAGTTTGAAGTTAGGTTACATGTAGCAATAAATTGTAGCAAATAAAAATGTACTTTTTTTTATTCATCATGATATAGAAACAAATTGACGCCGGTCGAGTATCAGGAATTCCAACATACATGTAGTAATTCAAGTGCTGTGTGGAATTTTACAGTGCCTGTACCTTTATTAAGGAAAGGGCCATCAAAATGTTACTGGGCAACTGTGACGCGTTCTGAATGAACCAATTACTCATGTCCTCCAAACAAAGTGTGGTTTAGTTGTACACAATCCAGTCAGCTGTGTGACCGAATCCTGTGGCAGCGTGTATTTCCGTCACCTCATTTAAGTGTCCCGTTGTCCACCGGATGCTCGATTGCCATCCGGGGACAGTACCTCTTCCAATTACTATAGTGGATGTCGATGTATTCCATTTTAACCAGAAGGGATAATATGTTTTTGAGCTTATGAGATCGCGTTTGAAATATGCATTAGTAAGTACGGCGTTGTCATTCATGCTCGGAATTCTTAATACCACGGCGGGAGTGGTGATATTCAAATTGCGAAAATGCTCACAGCAGGTAATGACGAATGTGAAAGCACTTTTTCCACGCTGTTTGATTATGATGCAAACTTCCTCGCCTGAAAATCAGAGATTTGAGTGAAATAAAAGTAAATTATAAAACATATCAGACTATTTTAAATACGAAGAGAGCCAAAAAAACTTTTTTATTCAAATTTCGTACCTCTTACGTCAAAACGAACACGGTCCCGTCTGGCGAGATCAGATATGGGGAACTTGACGGAATAATTAATGTTATCCGGAGTGGAAAATTTGAACAAAGATCTCGTAACACCTGGAAACAAAAGAGTGCATCAAAAAAGATAATCAAAACATTGAAGTCAACAAGAAGGCTTAGATATTCAAACACAGAAAATCCACATAATACAAAGGAGTATTTCAACCACTGGTATACGTACCACAGAGCAGTCTTGATTGAACTTTTATCCTTTAATTTGAAAAAAAAAAGGATGTAGCAAATGAGCATATGTGAAGAAACAGACACAGACTCCTCTTAAATCTGCATCTGTAATAAATGCCGTCGGAAGTAACCCACCCTAGAGATATTGTTTGTGTTGTAGGCAAAAACGTTTTTGTTACTTACCAACTCGGCTTGATTTACCAACTTCTGAAATAAATGAATTTTGATAATTCAAGATGCTGTACGAAATAGGGCAACGCAACTTTTTCTGAAACTGCACATGCACGAAAATAGATTCAGTGACACCTAGCGCCAGTGACAATGAAGTACTATAAATAATTTCCTTCTAAAAAAACTTTGTCCAAAAATTCTTACATATAAATTTATTGTTTTCTTAAGCCATACTTAAATCTATTTCTTTTTGTGTTATGAAAAACTATTTTTAACTCACCTGACACCACAATTGCAATTAATCCGCCAACAATTAAAAGAAGTGCCAAGGCTGCCATTATTTTCAGTTTTGTAGTAAATAGAGCAGGAGGTTCTCTAATCTCACTATCCTGTCCACGTGGGTCTTAAAAACACAAACGTTCATATCAGAACAAACGCCAGTGCAGTTACATGGGGATGTGCCGCAGCACAGGTAATGTGGAAAGTTATGTTAATTTGCCTGTCAAGCTGTCTGCAATTTCACTATACCGTCTTTCCCCTCGAATCTGTTTTTTTAATCTCGGTCTACATGAAACAATGATCGTTGTATTGCTTCAAGTTTTAAAATTGTCAGTATTCGTGTTTTAAATGAACCATGCTTCACAAAAAAATGACAATTTAAACACCTTTGTGTCCACAAGCAACTGTTGTATACCTGACGGATATGCAAAAAGGGGAGTCTCTTTTTTCACGTTTTGAAGATAACTTAAAGGTACCAAACAAAAATAAACACTACAAGATGAAGGAAGTAAAATCAGCAGAAATCAAACAACAGTATGTATGTATGTATGTATGCGAAACATACCATTTTCCTTGAAATCACCAGGAATAGTGTCATCGTACCGTTGTTGGTCATTACAGAAATCTTGCGTCACATAAACATTTTCCACAGCACGAACACGTTGAGGAGCACTCATCTTTGGTATGAAAATATGTAGTTTGAAATATCTCTCCAATTTTAAAGCCAGCTTGGACAGTGAGTCACATAAAAAGACGAAACAACAAACAAGTGTTTTAACGATGTGGGAATGCGACAATGGTTTCTGAAATGTGAGACTGAATGAATCAAATGATGGCTTGTAGCTCATCATATTTTAAACGCAATGTGCACATAATTCATATTTTCCACCATTCTCTAAGCTTAAACCACTGCATGCTTTGATCGCTTTCGTGTCAAAATGTCGCTTACTTCTTTGTTTCCTGAGTGGGGTAACTGTGTATGGTGACATCAACATCATGTTTCACATCGCATTATATAAATTGTATGGCCTTTGAAACTTGTTTTGGTCCCTGTATTAAACTGCTTCGCCTAGTATAGTGTTTTAAATCGAATCTGATTCACCTGGAATCGTGCTTGTGTCATTCTTATTTGACATTGTTCTCGGGCTCGCTTGATATTTGGAACTAAAATGATGAAATCACGCAAAACAAACAAAAAAATGAACATGCTTCTCATCAGTGCCCGCTCTAAATCGACTATAAGTTGGGTGAATTTGAAATCTAGCGTTGGCATGGTTTGAAGTTTATTAGGGAAAATTTCAGTAGGCCATCATTTGTCATATTAATATTAATACAAAATGGTTCAACAACTGCCAGTGAGATATATATATATATATATATATATTATTATATATTATTATATATATATTATCCACTGTAAAATAAAGTTTGTTCTTAGCGTTTTCCATATCCTGATTACCTTATGACATATATCTAGTGAGTAACAAGTGTGAATTCTTGGTTATTTTGTCACAGGGATACATGGGTTCAGCTTGCAGGGAGATACATTACACTTTATCCGACAATACACGTGCACACAATACCACACACACACAAACACACACACACACACACACACATTGCTATTAGATTTTAATAGGTCATTTTAGTAGTTATGAATTGAAGTAAGAAGATTAGTTTAACTCTCGGGGAATTTTTCCATGATATTTTATTCAAAATTTGCCAATTTTCAAAAAAGATCCAAGTGAGGTATGTTTATTACATAATTGTGACATAATGTCCACACAATTAATGTACTAAGCTCTAACATGCTGTTGCTTGTAATGATCTTTTTTTTTTACATTGGGTGATAGGAGCACAGGAATAATCCAGCTGATTTGCTGGGTTTCCTAAGGCAAATATGTTCAATATAACGTTCCATGCAAGGCGATCGAGCGTGCAGGCCACAGTTGGAAGCGGGGCACGTTTTTCCCTTGATTTAGCATTATCCATGGACAGAAACTCCTCTCTCATGGAACTTTTGGCTTCGCTTCTAGTTTTCCTAGACAGCACCGCCTTCAACCGGGAACCTTGGTCTCCCTCAGAAGTTTCAGGTGGGTTGGACACTGCAAAAAGAAAAAAAAGATAGAAGGCACAGAAGTGAGAATAATTTGTTCAATGAGTCCTAGTGATTGAAAACATGTGACGAATACGCTCTACCGGTGGATGTTAGATATGACCAACAGGTGGGCATTTGTGGCCATTTCTCTATCCCATCACGTTATATATATATATATATATATAACTTTTCGTGGTCTGAGTTTGGAAAGACACTGCTTGGACCGAAAAGGACTATTTTGTTAAGGAGTACTTATTATGTTATTGATATAAAAACATTTAAAAAGTTAATCCGTTGTCTGTAATACTACATTAAATACTCGTAAATATGAAGAGTTGGCGACCTGGTCAGGCCCATTCTGAGATCCAAAGTACACGTAAGGCATTTTCCCTCACTTCTTATGACTTTATATATTTTATGTATCTACTCTCAAGGTCAATTTAGTCAACATTTGGCCACACAAGGATCTTTGTAAGGGGGGACCAAAAGCCCTTTCACTACTGGTTAAGATAAGAAGCCTCATCAAGAGGCATATGTAACTGATAAAGTCTGTGACGGTTCACTTTTGGAGGTCCTAATAGGTAATCGCGCGACAGAGGGTTATACTCGAGCTCTCAACAAGTCCGCAACCTGCTGCGTAGCCGCTTAGGTGACTGTGGGTTTCGCCAGGCAGGCCATAAATGTGTTATTCTCGCAATGTGAACCAGTACAGTGTGTCGCTTAAGTATAGGCCTAACGCTCGATATGAAGAGGACCTGATTGAACGCCGGTGTTGTCACTCCTACCTTCTCGTTTTCGTCTCCCAGGTGGCGGCACCAGACCAGGTGTTATCGACAACGCCCCAGTTCCCACCAGGTTGCACGAGTCTTCTACGCATGCCCATTGAGGTACTTGGAAATTGTATTCCACCGTTAGCTGACACAACAACAGCACGATAGGCTGAAATTGGAACATAGGCAAGTAGGTAAAATATATGCTGATCAAGAAACATGGGCAAAGCAGATGGAATGAGCTGATAATGAATAAAAGAAAGACAATAAATTGCAGTAAAGTAGTTGAAATGCATTGATAACTAGAATAGCACTCAGAGAGAGCAGTCCTCTGCCAAGACAAATGATAAACTTATAATTAAGCATTGATTAATTAAAGGTCATCATGTTTGACCTATCCTGAAAATTTCCTCAAAATCCGCCCATAACCTTTTGCATTATGATGCTAACAGCCAGTCAAGCTAACAAACTAATGGAACCAAAAGATAACCTCCTTGACGGAGATAATGAACTGTCTGGTAGGGCTCATTCCTAAAGAAACTATCGGTCTACGTAGATCTATGCAATTCTGCGGGGAGTCTCGCTGTATGCAATCAGTTTAACATATAAACACGCCCCTCTTGATTCCAACAGCTTTTCTGTATTCTACTCAACGTCCGGAGGTGTGTAAATGTCTTAATCTGATTGCATTCAACGAGAGTCCCAGGGAGTTGGATCGATCTACGTAGACCTATTGTTTCATTGGCAATGGGCCCTTAGCGTACTAATGTGAGGAGATGCTGTAGTTTTACCAGCGGTCATCTTTTCGCTCTTCCTGTTAGATAAAATATTCTCTTACAGGGCATTTACTTTACATCATTTTATAAGAACTCGTGTTTCAAAAATAAATTGAAATATTCATATCCAGTACGTTACAATTTTCATCACTTAACTCAACATGTAGGCCTACATACGTAATTTGAATTATGTCTCCCAAAGAGGAATGTGATGCTCGTGCTGCTTGCATGAAAAGGTACAAAGATTCCGTGTAAAATTTAACAAATGATTAACTGCTCATCTACAACTAGTGTATGTGTGTGTGTGAAAGTCTTGGTATCTTCATACACATACCGTAAAAAATTCAACGAAAATCTGCGGCAATCCTAGACTGTTTAAACCAATGCAATCAAAGGTCTTCGTGTTGCAGTCTTGGTCATTTTGGCAGGATGATCCTTGAACTACAATGATATGCACACCTTAAACATCGTGTAATCAATTAACTTCGTGAAACTTCAAATATGTTAGAAAAAGTTAACATTAAATGTTGTTTTATCATAAGCAATCAAGAGAAGCAGTGACATCACGGAGAAAAAACACGGAGTATACTGCTAGAAGATGTGCCGCTCTGTAAACGTTTCTGAGTTTTTTTTTAACGTTTTAAGTTCACATAAAAATGTTATTAACTTTAAACACATTTTGCTTTATATTTATCTTGATGTATTATTTGTTGTTTGTATTTCCGGCACGCCCCCGCCATGCGCTATTGCACCCTGATTACATGCATGTATTAGATCACAAGATTAGATATATCTTGTCGAAATTAATTCAGTGCACGAAATGAGTATACGAAATTTTTGGCCCAGAAATGTCCTTCTGTAAAGTAGTTCACGCATCTTGGATGTCGGGGATGTGAGATGTGAGCTTCTCTCACATTTTGTGGCCGTTGTTTTTCTCTCGCCCACTTTTTTCTCCATTGTATGGAGGATGTATGTGTCACAATTAGTTTCATGCTGTTTTGATCATCCCCCATAACTTTATATTTAATATATTTTCGTCATTTGAATAAATGAAAGATTTCAGTCATGTGCACTTAGTATTATTTACTTTTGAGCAGAAAACAGCTCTGCTGAGCTTGTGAACATTTGCCTACATGAATTCAACACCATGAAACTACAGAGAAGACAAAATGACCTGCACAAATTCACTAAAAGACACAAAATGCGCGCTAGACCTAAACATAGCAAAAAATATCCTGGAAAATAAAACTGTTTTTAAAAAACTTTTCATATATAGGTATACCATATTTGAAACTGTTAACGAACTTACGATCTGCATACAACCCAAGTTTAAAATTTCTGCATGTTTGGTCACTCTCGTAAAGAAGATAAAACCTGGTGACTTTTTGCACGTAAAGGTATAAACAGCATATTAGACCCCCCCCCCCCCCAAAAAAAAAAAAAAAAAAAAAAAAAAAAAAAAAAAAAAACTTACTGTTCTGGCACGTTCCATTCGGCAAGGGTACAGTGGTCAGCGGGCAGAGACACGCCTGAGGGGAGCCGACTATAAACGTGAACAGCAGCGGATTCCGTACACAGCGTGTGTTATCGCCACAAGCCAGTGGTGGAGTTCCGATCGCTTCTGTACTCGAACAAGCACTGAAAAGGCTTGTACTGTTATCGTTTGTATACCCTGAAAATATAGGATACTCCTCTGTATGAATTGGCTTCCATGGCTTTCACTTATCTCCACAGAAAGTGCTTTTTGGTGTTGCATTTGATATCACATGCTTAGCTTTGAAAAATACTACTACACGGTTTAACGAACCCACCCAGCATAGAATTGCATACTGTTTAAAATTGCTAGAAATTGTGAAGGTAAATCATTTATTTAAGTTTATAATTTTAAGAGACAATACAGAATTGTTCTAGTCTCCATGTTTCCTGTAGATGGACATATCTATGTATAATAAAGGAAAGTCAAAGTGAGTATACCTATAAGTGGCGGGATGACGGACATGGCTCACTTTAAAATGCTGGTCTGAAACAAAGAATAACACTTACAGATGAAGAAAGATGTATACCCCATGTTACACAATAGAAGCCTCTGTCAACAAAGGAAACATGGATAAGAACTTTTGATTTGAGAAAAAAACTTAGATGCAGTGCGTGAAAAGTAATGAATCGTAAAATTATATTGTTTGTCTTCTAAGAGACACCGAGGCCAGCTGAGAAATGACGTTAATTCTACGCAAAACTTCTCGCTGGACATGTACACTGCAATGCCATCTATTTCTAACCGGGAGTAAATAATTTGGCTTGGCGCCGTTAGAAACTCAGCGTAGCGCTTGGGTGGTAAACGCTCTTTACATTCTGTGTTTCTTTGCATGATTGTCTGGCAAACGTCACGTTTGGAGGAATTTCCCAAAACTGCACAGGCGATATTGCATTGTTATGCAAGCGATTACTGCCAGAAAAAAATAGTTAAAACTATTAATAGCCTACTTCTTGGAGAAGGGGGGTCGTCAAATGCCAGTGCCATATTAATTTTGTAAAATGTGATCATAAATTTTACTCGCATATCATCGCCGGCTTACAGTACAGAGTGTTTAGAATTATCTAATTAGTTATATTAGGAATATATAAAGTGAAAAAATCAGCCTGTGACCAGGTAGAGAGCATCTTGTATTTACCTGTGAGTACTTGTGCTTGCGAGTAATCGGATGGAGTAGAGTGTCTCCTGTCACTTCAAGCTCCTGAACGTCTACTGTAGTCGTCCATTACAGTCATGCGATCACTTACCTAGAAGATCAAATCAATGCTCCTCTCTCGGCCGGTAAATTTAAAGCCGCTTCCGTTTATTTGATTGGATACGGCGTATTCATTAACAGTAATTTTGCAAGGAACATACCTCAACCTCTTAACGGTGCATGTATGCATGCAGATGATAATGACTATGTTGGTGAGTTTCATAGTCAAGATATCATGCCGGGTTCTTGCTAATTACGTTAATTATATTGCAGAGAATGTCTTTAACTACCGTTTATCTCTAAAATACTAAATGTCGTGTAGAAAATTATCATACAGTAAGCCTAATATGTGTACAGATAAACGACGCATCCTTATCGTTAAACACAGAACTTTATTGTTTGACCATAGTAGTGCTAGTAATAAACTGCGACCATCAAGTGACTTTGGCTGCGGTATTCTAATCAAAGCATTACATCTGCGTTTTATCGAGAGAAGTACTTGTCTTAAGGTGCATTCACAATGCAGCTATTGCACGAGGTAGATCGATCAAACTCCGAGGGTACCTTAGCCGAATGTAGTCAGATTAACTAATTCACACGCCTCTTCTTTTTTACAACGTGCGCGTGTAATTAACAGCTTTTCTGTTTTCTATATACTTAGCGCCAGGGAGGAATGCTAAACTTTTAATCTGATGCATTCGGTGAGAGTCCCCGCGGAGTTGGATTGATCTACCTAGTACGATGGTATCATTGTGAACGCACCCTTATTCTTAAGCATTCGCCTGTCATTAAAAATAAAATATTACTGTAAAAAATGAAGAGGAAATAGAAAACGGTAAACAGATTTTAATAACGGCCAGATTTGACCATTAAAATGCACGCTTTACCTGAAGCACCATTAAGATCAGCTTAACACAGGTATTTACAAATAATTTTATACTTCAGCAGCAGAGCTGGGTAACGTAAAAGTAAAGAATGCACGATATAAACGTAGGCTTCAAAATATATGTGGGTGTCTGCGACGCAGACATAGTTTCCAGGACAAAATTCATCTCTTAACTTCGGTTCAGAACCGAGCCTTGAAATTACTGTATGTCTTACGAAAATATCCCCTAGAAATCAATTCGATCATAATGAATTCTTGTCTTTAAGCAATTACAGACAATACGGATATTTTAATGTTTTAAAGATACACCTACGTATCTCTATTCCACTATTATACTTTGAAAGCACGTGCGTCGAACACTGAAGTAATTGTTTAAGTATATTAATCAGCGTATATTTATTTTTAAAGTGCGGTGTAACAAGTCCTAAACAAGTGTGATTTAGGTGTTACAAATAGTTTTTTTTTTTGCGTGTAACTAATTTGTTGCCAACATACGATTCAAATACCTTTAACTATTGACCTGAGGTCTATACGTCTGAATAGGTACATGTGATACCTCCAAACTTTTAAGAGCGATATTTCATAGTGCTTGTTTACCAAATCCAACACAATCTACACGCTTTGTACCTCTATAGGGTTTGTGCATGTGTATTAAATCAAGTGTGATGCAGGCACGGTATGTCAGTTCAAATGTGCAATTGGTTTGATTAAAAATCACAAACTGTGCCTGCCACTGATCCTGACGCAGAGAAAAACCAGTGTGAGGTCATATATTGTTCCCATGGCAGTTCACGTGTCAGTTGTAAGTCTGAACTAAAGGAAATGCCAGTGAAGTCTTCCCAGGCAATGGCTATGCATTGCTAGTGAGCCAAGTGAACCAGTTCGTCTTCCGAGCCAAACTTTGGTTAAATGTACACAATCCAGTCAGCCGTGTAACCGAATCCTGTGGCACCGTGTATTTCTGTCACCTCATTAAACTGTTCCTTTGTATACCGGATGCTACTTTGCCATCCGGGGACAATACCCTGTCCAAATGCTATAGTGGATGTCGTTGTATTCCATTTTAACCAGAAGGCATAATATTTTCTTGAACCTATCAGGTCTCGAAATTGATACCCATAATTAATAACAGGATCGTCGAACATGCTTGGAATTTTCAATAAAATGGCTGGATTGGTAATATTTAATCCATAAACATACATACAACAGGTAATGACGAATGTGAAAGCACTTCTTCCACGCTCTTTGATTATGATGTAAACCTCATCGCCTGAAAATTAAGGCAGAATTCAATTTAATAAATATAAATGCTAATCAAAAATCGGCCATTATACCACTATGTTGTGCCCTTTGAAAGCAGAAAGAATACTTACTTAACTGTACCGTACCTTTCACGTCAAAACGAACGCGGTCCCGCCTGGAGAAATCAGAGATGGGGAACTTGATAGAATAATTGATGTTATCCGGTGTGGAAAAGTTGAATGTAAATTTGGAATTACCTAGAAAGGTAAGTACATCAAAACATCAGACTTCACAAAGAAAATGAAGGGAATTCCAAGCAAGAAAATCATTTAAGAAATAAAAGTCTCTGGGAAAGTCTTACCACAAAACATCCGAGACTGGCACTGGCAATGTTACTCTAAAAACAGAATACATCTAAACAAGACATGGCAAGCAAGAGAATCCCGTTGATCGAAACGTATTATTAATGCCCTTGTTATATGGAAAATTATTGTGATAGATAACGCCAGAAAACGTACATGCCACTTACCAATGTTTACTTCAGTCGATTTACTGATGAGTTCTGAAAGGAAACACGGATAGATGATATATTAATGTAACATTTTCTGTTTATATATATTTCAAAATAACTTGTCGGCACCTATTGCTGATGACAAGAGGCACTGTGAGTGATTTCCTTCCATGGAAATCCTAGTAACTCTTACTTAAATAGATGTATTATTTAAGGCATACTAAAATATACTAGCCAAATAAAGAAACGCAAGTATATGTTTTCACCACAGAGCTTCAAAACGACCAAATATGCGTATGTGAGTATGGCCACTGTATTCAGTGACAGATCACCATCTGAGACCTATAGCAGAGGACTGATACGCTTGTGTGACATTAGACAATGGCTAGCTTAGATTTTCAGACGTCTCATTTGAAAACAAATTGGCACAAGGTCTTGCATTATTTTGTTGTCCACCATCAATGCTATATGACACTGGCATCATAATCCGAGTTAGAAGACTTAATTACAAGTTAACATCATGCCGCGGCCATCTGATCTGGACAAGTTTCGTACCATTGGCCATTGCTTTTGGTACAGTTTTATGATTTTGGCGGTCACAAGTGGCAATTTCCAGACTGGAATTGTGGTGATTGTGTCATGAAAGCATCAACACCCAACCCTACTTTTGCTCCAGCAGGACAACGCCCGTTGTATATATTCCATTTTGTGGTTTAGGGCACTATCTTCTACTAGTACTAACCTGACATCACAATTGAAGTTATTCCACCAGTAATTAAAAGAAGTCCCAAGGCTACCATTGTCTTCAGTTTTGTAGTTTGTTTACCAGGCGTTCCACTGACTTCACTCCTTTGGTCTTAAACGAACAAATAATAATAATAATAACAATAATAATAATAATTATTATTATTATTATATCAGAACATACGTGTAAAGTAGTGCGCATGTTGAAACAAGTATATCTATTCTTCCAATAATAATAATAATAATAATAATAAGTTTCTTATTTGGCCCTTTATATACTACCTCAAGGCGCCTTACAATGAAAATATAAGTAACATCACTAAAATCACTACAATGTTTTAATCTAAAACACTCATCGGAACCATTTAAACTTAACACTACTAAAAACTCAATCTTATTAAAACTATATAAAAAATTAAGAGCAATAGACAGATTTAAAAATGTGGGTCTTTAGAAGGTACGGATTATGTAACAAGCAATGAATGGCACTAAAAATGTACATTCATCACAAAAAAAGTCCAACACAAGTTCAAACGGGAATCTCCATCTAGCTGTTGATAGTAAATAAGCTCGAAAATTGCTTATCAGCAAAGCAGTTTGTTGGTACAATTTATAAAATGAGGACACTTAACTACGAATCGTTTTACACAATACACAGGTGTTTCAGAAGGCGCTTTGTATTTTCCATCTGGTCCAACTATTAAACCAAAGACTGCACATTATGCACTTCTTAACAATTATATTGTTGCGTCCATTTTACTAATGTGTGTATTTTTTTAACTTACCGTTTTTATTGAAAGTGCCAGGAATAGTATCATATATAGCGTACCTATTTTGGCCATCATCGTATTTCATATCATATCCCACGGGATTAGCCCCTCCAGTGGAACTCATCTTGGGTATGCAGAGATGTGATTGAAATATAAAAATCTTCCTGGCAATTCTGATCCCCACTTGGACAGACAGTCACATCCAGACAATGACGCAACTGCGCTGTATAGGTAGGCATGGGATGATATAATACATACCAAAACATGAAGCTGATTGGATCAATAAATACTTGTAGGTAGTCACAAGAGTGCTCGATTTTTATTTTATACCCAACACGATGTATGCATCACTCATGTTTGTCAATGTAATGATTTACATGAGGGCATATTTACTTTATACACCATATGGGTATTTCTGTGGTCCATTGTGCGTTTATAAAACGCTTGTATGACACTCATTCTTTGCTAGTGGTGCACTGCAGGGGGGCCATAACAAGAATGTTATTTAAATTTAGATAGCCAACCAAATTCTCATGACATCGTTGTGTATGTTTCAATAACAAATCAAANTTGAAATTTTCGGTCAAATTCAACATTTTGTAACCACTAGCAAAGAATGACAGATGATCTCTACAGTAAAAAATGCTTTCAATATACCGTACTATATAATATTCTATGTACAAAAAAGAACAGCTCTTTTACAAAATAGCTGTTCTTTTTTTACTTTTGTGCAAATCAGAAAACGCTATTTTCCATGTGTGACATCATTTTGTTGTTGTTGTTTTTTCTTTTTGAAAAATGTTCTCCATATACACACACGAATTCGTATTTTAATAAAATAAAATGTAAGACTTTTCATGTGTTGTATGCTACGTGTATACACGTGACCCAGTCTCTAAATGTCTAGGAGGCTCTGACTCTAGATTGTCTGGCGTCATATACATGCTGTTCATATAATCTGCTGTTATTCCTGTTTCAATGCTTTCAGCATCACGTTT